CAAGAGAGGTGCTGAATGGACTCTTAAGGAAGAACGGAGGCCCACTAGCCCCAGAGGACAAGGAAGCGCACTACTGGCAGAGGGAACAGCATGACCGAGGGCCCAAGAGACAAGAAACGGCATGCTGGAGAGTTTGGGTGAGAAGTTTGCTGAGAATAACAAGAAAAAAGCAACAAATTCCTCATTGGGAAAATGCCTGAATGTCAAGCTAAGGGGTTGATCTTTGATGTCATCAACCATGATGGCTTCCTCCCTTGTTAGACACAAAGCAGTGCCCTGACCAGATCTATTTTAGATAGAGGACTGGTGACCCTGTGGAAAGTGGATTGGTTATAGGGAGTAAGGACAGAGGCAGGGAGCTCAGAGGCGGCTCTGGATCAGAGATGATGCATACCCAGTACATGCGCCCTGCTCCTGCCTCCTGGCACCTGAGGCAGGCATCACTAAACAATTGCAACACTCTTCTTAATTCTGGCACCCAGGCAGCCACTATCAATCCTGACTGGCTCAAGAGAAAAGATGTTAGCATTTTCCATCCCTTGTCAGGACCCCAGAAGTGTAATGGACCAGAAGTGCTTCTCTAGGGGAAGGGACAAGACAATGGATCAAAAGCAAGCATATGAAGAGGGGGAACTAGAGGATGCTGCCCACTGCTGGCCTGGAATGCCAGGAGGGCGATAACACCATCAGTAGATGTCAGTGCAGGAGAGACTGCTCAGGTGAAGTGGTAGGGAAGAAAACACGTGTGGCTGCAGACAGGTGAAACTTGAGATGACCTGCAGAAAATTCAACTGGACAGTTGAAAAAAGAGGTTTAGATAACCCTGGAAAGAATGCTCAAGCTCGGAGCTGTTGAATTGGGTTTATGGATAAAGTTATGCAGGAAAAATGCATTTATGATGAGAAAGACCAGCATGGCCTTGAAGCAATATTTTGGGACTGCCTGGGAGAGGGAGAACCATGCCACCAGAAGGACTTGGTCCAAAGGAAGGGCAGGACCAGAGGACAGGCAGGGCAAGACGGCCCAACAGTGGCCAGATTCAGAGAAAGGGGGCAGGGAGATTCCTCTTCCAGTGACCATTCACTGGATTTGGTCACTGGCTGCTCAGAGACCTCAGGAAGCAGCACTCATGGGGACAGCCATGCAGAAAAAAAAACACCTGACAAGCAAGACTGTGGCCAGTTGCATATGAAAGATATTTGTATCCATGAAAAGGGAAACCATCAGCCCAGGCAAAGCCGTCTTCATTTCCTCCTGAAGCCGCTCTCCCAGCCAGGGCTGGAAAGAGTTGATAAATGGATAGTAAATAATCACCCAGCAGCTCCTTCCAAAACTTTATGGTCTTCAGAAAAAAATTGGTTAACCTTCCAGACTATGCGGTCTTCTCACTGCCCCCAAAGATGCTGCTAAACTATGAGGCAGGAACAAATATTTTATGAGCGAAGGGATGCTTTCCAGGCAAAAACCACAAGTCCAGCATTAAGAGTTCCTCACTCAGAGTCTGGTTTCTGTGAGCACAGACTAGTCCAAAGTGTTCTTCAGCTCCAGTTAGGGGCTGGGGACAGACACCTGCACCCCGCTTTAATGAGGATGAGGCTCAAGGAACTAAAAGAACTTATCAAAGTCTACATTATAACCAGAAGTTAGAACTGGGTTTTCACGGACCCGAGGACTGCTTAGGGCCCCATATCCCGGCACTTCCCGGGTGCCCATTTAACTCTGAAACTACCAACCCTGGCTCGCTCTTTTCCTGGAGGGCTATAGCTCATCTGGAAGGTTCTGGCACACACCAGAACTCACTGGAGCTAACTTATCCCGGCTGCTGTTAGAAGGCAGTGTACGGCCCGCAATTTCAGGGATGTGAAATTTGATGATGACTCTTCATTCATTCATTCAAAGATTTCCATGGCAAGATTAAGGAGCCTGAAAAAGCCGCCAGAGGCATGCAATAACTCCACTACTCTAACAGGAAAATGTTCTCTTAATAACACGAACAGCCTGGGGAGGCCACACTGACATACGCAGCTTTTGGGAGAAGGGAGGAGAATGCCCTATGCCCAGAGAAACAGAACATCGCCTAGAAGTCGACAATGATACGCATTGTCCAGATAACACCTCCACTGTACTCATTCAACAAGGACTGTCTGGCCACCCCAGCAAGGACCTGAGAGCCCTCAGCTGTACTGTAGCAGAGCAGTTCGTAGAAGCTCCCCTAGATCGCAGCTCTGACAACCTATGGAACCCCTAAGCCAGGTAAACAGTCACCATTTTCTAAAATTTTATTTTTAATTGTGGCAAAATACACAGGATATACAATTTAATATTCTAACCACTTTTATGTGTACAGTTCAGTCATTTTAAACACAAGGGACGCCATTCTTGCACATCCAGTCTCCAGGACTCTTTTCATCTTGCAATACCGAAACTCCGTCCCCATTAAACACTAACTCCCCTTTCTTCCTCCCTCCTCCAGCCCCAGGCAACCACCCTTCTACTTTCTGTCTCTATGAATCTGACTGCTTTGGGCAACACCTATAAATGGAATCACACGGGATGTGTCCTTTTGTGACAGGCTTATTTCACTTAACAAAATGTCTTCAAGTTTCATCTGTGCTGTAGCCTGTCAGAATGACCTTCCTTTCTAAGACTGAATAATATTCCACTGTATGGATGGGCCACGTTTTGTTTATTCATCCCTGAATGGTGGGCTTCCACGTTTTTGCAATTGTGAGGAACGCTGCTGTGACTACGGGTGTGCAGATATCTCTTGGAGACCCTGCTTTCAAATCTTTTGGGGATATACCCAGAAGTGAAATTGACGGGCCATGTCGTAGTTCTATTTTCAATATTTTGGAGGAAGCACCATACTGTTTTCCATAGTGGCTACAGCATTTTACCTTCCCGCCAGCAGTCGGAAAGAGTTCCAATTTCTCCAGATGTCCACCACCACTTGTGATTTTCTGTTCTGTTTTGTTTCATTTGATGGTGACTGTATTAGTCCGTTTTCATGCTGCTGACAAACACATACCCGAGACCAGGAAAAAAATAAAAAAGAGGTTTAATTGGACTTACAGTTCCACATGGCTGGGGAGGCCTCAGAATCATGGTGGGAGGCAAAAAGCACTTCTTACATGGCAGCAGCAAGAGAAAATGGGTAAGAAGCAAAGCTGAAACCCCTGATAAACCCATCAGATCTTGTGAGATTCATTCACTATCGTGAGAATAGCATGGGAAAGACCAACCTCCATGATTCAATTACCTCCCCCTGGGTCCCTCCCACAACACATGGGAATTCTGGGAGATACTATTCAAGCTGAGATTTGGTGGAGACACAGCCAAACCCATTTCACCCCTGGCCCCTTCAACTCTCATATCCTCACATTTCAAAGCCACCTATGCCTTCCCAATAGTTCCCCAAAGTCTTAACTCATTTCAGTATTAACTCGAAAGTCCACAGTCCAAAGTCTCATCTGAGACAAGGCAAGTCCCTTCTGCCTATGAGCCTATGAAACCAAAAGCAAGCTAGTTACTTCCTAGATACAATGAAGGTACAGGTATCGGGTAAATACGGCCATTCCAAACGGGAGAAATTGGCCAAAACAATGGGGTTACAGGGCCCATGCAAGTTTGAAATCCAGAAGGGCAGTCAAACTTTAAAGCTCCAAAATGATCTCCTTGGACTCCAGGTCTCACGTCCAGGTCACGCTGACTCAAGAGGTGGCTTCTCACGGTCTTAGGCAGCTCTGTCCCTGTGGCTTTGCAGGGTATAGCCTCCCTCCCAGCTGCTGCTTTCATGGGCTGGTGTCGAATGTTGAGTGACTGTGGCTTTTCCAGGCACACAGTTCAAGCTGTTGGTGGATCTACCATTCTGGGGTATGAAGGACGGTGGCCCTCTTCTCACAGTTCCATTAGGCTGTACCCCACTAGGGACTCTGTGTGGGGGTTCTGACTCCACATTTCCTTTCCCCACTGCCCTAGCAGAGGTTCTCCATGAGGGCCCCACTCCTGCAGCAAACTTTTGCCTGGGCATCCAGGCATTCCCATACATTTTCTGAAATTCTAGGTGCAGATTCCCAAACCTCAGCTCTTGACTTCTAGGCACCCACAGGCTCAATACCATGTGGAAGCTGCCAAGCTTTACCCTCTGAAGCCACAGTCCAAGCTGTACATTGACCCCTTTCAGCCATGGCTTAAGTGGCTGGGACACAGGGCACCAAGTCCCTAGGGTGCACATAGCAGGGGGACCCAGGGCCTGGCCCATGAAACCACTTTTTCCTCCTAGGCCTCCAGGCCTGTGATGGGAGGGGCTGCCATGAAGGTCTCTGACATGGCCTGGAGACAATCTCCCCATGGTCTTGAGGATTAACATTAGGCTCCTGCTACTTACGCAAATTTCTGCAGCAGGCTTGAATTTCTCCCCAGAAAACGGGGTTTTCTTTTCTATCACATAGTCAAGGTGCAAATTTTCTGAACTTTTGTGCTCTGTTTCCCTTTTAAAACTGAATGCCTTTAACAGCATCCAAGTCACCTCTTGAATGCTTTGCTGCTTAGAAATTTCTTCCACCAGATACCCTAAATCAGCTGTCTCAAGTTCAAAGTTCCACAAATCTCTAGGGTGGGGGCAAAATGCCACCAGTCTCTTTGCTAAAACATAACAAGAGTCACCTTTGCTCCAGTTCCCAACAAGTTCCTCATCACCACCTGAGACCACCTCAGCCTGGATTTTATTGTCCATATCACTATCAGCATTTTGGACAAAGCCATTCAACAAGTCTCTAGGCAATTCCAAACTTTTCCACATTTTCCTGTCTTCTTCTGAGCCCTCCAAACTGTTCCAATCTCTGCCTGTTAGCCAGTTCCAAAGTCACTTCCACATTTTTGGGTATCTTCTCAGTAACGCCCCACTCTACTGGTACCAATTTACTGTATTAGTCCATTTTCATGCTGCTGATAAAGATATACCCGAGACTGGGAAGAAAAAGAGGTTTAATTGGACTTACAGTTCCACATGGCTGGGGAGGCCTCAGAATCATGGCGGGAGGTGAAAGGCACTTCTTACATGATAGTGGCAACAGAAAATGAGAAAGAAGCAAAAGTGGAAACCCCTGATAAAACCATCATATCTTGTGAGACTTATTCAATATCACAAAAACAGCATGGGAAAGACCGGCCCCCATGATTCAATTACCTCCCCCTGGGTCTCTCCCATAACACGTGGGAATTCTGGGAGATAAAATTCAAGTTGAGATTTGGTGGGGACACAGCCAAATCATATCAGGGGCCATTCTGATGGCTGTGAGGTGGGCAGCCAGCATTTTAGAAGCCCTCCCACTGGCCTGGCTGCCACTTCACATGTCCTGTAGATCATCTCATTGAATCTTTATGAAAACCCCACTCAGAGGCAGGGGCACACATCATGCCCACTTTCCAGATGAGGACACTGAGGCTCAGACCGACTCTTGTCCAGGGTCACACAGCTGATCTAAATCCTCAAAGGTCCGTACTCTTCCCCACTCAGCCATACCAACTCTCTTCCTCACACGGGAGCTACCAGTGACCTCTTAGCTGTGGTGATGATTCGACAAGGACACCTCTGAGCTGAACCACGCTCTTGGCACACTTAATGTGCTCGCCACATAAATCTCCAAAGCTAAACTCAAAGTGAAGGCTCTGCATCCGACTCAGCTCCCTCCCAGGCTTGTAAATTTTGCTCCAGCCTAATGCCAGTCCTTGAGGGAGAGAGGCTGACGGCCTGAAGGTTTTGTAGCATTCACCCATCTCCTCGTCACCCCTCCCCAGGCCCCCAGACTGGGGGGCAGGGCCCTGCCTGGCAGAGGGCACACAGGCAGCATTGTCTCCCCTGTCCCTGAGCTGCTTCACCTCTCGAACTTTCCACCAAATGCTTCAGCTGCCAGCAATACCACCTGGAGTCCTACCCGCCCGGCTCTCCGAGAGGGTCTTTGGAGACACTGCCGCCTTGTTAGGTGCCGAGGGGCTGCGTCCAGAGACATGAGACCTGGAGGCGAGACCACAGGCGGGCCAGGCATCTCCCAGGCCATCCTCTAGTCATGAGCCCTGAGTCTGCAGCCTGCACAGATGTTGGGGTAGGGGCCAGAGGGAATGATTGTACCACAAGATTAAACACTTCAATGTCAACATGTGTGCAGTGTTGCTTGAACAATGTTATCATTGTGAATTGAATGAACCAAAGAGTTTAGGGGATGGGGCAGGGAGAGGGAGAAAAGATGGGTTTAATTATCTCTAGAGCTGAGGCCAGTTCTTTGCCTAAAAAAACCCAGACGCCCATAGAGCTGAAAAGAAAAATGGGCTGCAAGCACATGCCGCTCTTCTACTACAGACCCAGGCAGCCCCCTGGCCTATGGCTTCCCACCTCACAGAGGGAGGAACGCAGTCCCCAGGGATTTCTGAGTTCCAATCCCATCCTCAGCCCATTGAAATTGAGGGAAAAGAATGAAAAGTAGTTACTATCTTCACCTAAACCAGTGGTTCTCAGCCAGAGCTGACTTTGTCCTCCCCTCACTCCGATGAAGGCACCTTGGGCAATGTCTGGAGTCATTTTTGGTTGTCATAACTTAGGAGGGCGTGCTCCTGGCATGTAGTGGGTACAGACCAGGGACACTGCTAAACATCTCGCAATGCTCAGCATGGCTCCCCATCCAACCCCAAATGTGACTAGTGCTGAGTTGAGAGTCCTTGACCTGAACAGACAGGCAGAGTTCAAGAGGGTCAAGAAACCTGGGGTTTGGTCTCATCTGAACTGTGAGCTGGCTGGTATAACCCCAGGCTCACTGGGCCTCAGTTTCCTCCCGTAACAAAGGAAAGGACTGAATTTCTCTGAAGTCCCTTTTCTCACCTATTAGACTGTACCATGTAAAGCTGCTGATACTCTACCAGTTTTGACCTGTATGCGGTTCACCCTAACACCTCAGGGCAGCTTGGAGGCTCTATCTGTGCTGGCTGGTAAGGCACACTGAGACATATGGGGCTACTAAGCGCAGGAAATGTGGCCCCCGTGACTGAGATCTGAATGCTTAATTGTATTTCATTGTAATTAATTTAAATCTAAATAGCTGCCAGGCACAGTGGTTCACACCTGTAATCCTAGCACTTTGGGAGGGCAAGGTGGGTGGATCACTTGAGGTCAGGAGTTTGAGACCAGCCTGGCCTGGCCAACATGGTGAAACATCGTCTCTACTAAAAATACAAAAATTAGCCAGGCATGGTGGCACACGCCTGTAATCCCAGATACTTGGGAGGCTGAGGCACAAGAATGACTTGAACCTGGGAGGCGGAGGTTGCAGTGAGCCAAGATGGCACCACTGCACTCCAGCCTGGGCAACAGAGCAAAAATTCCATCTCAAAAAAATAGAATAAAATAAAATCTAAACAGCTGCATGTGGCTCATGGCCTTCCTCGTGGACAGCCAGATCTCAGGTGTCCCCATCACTGCAGAGGTGCTGTTGCCCACACTGCTTTGTTGCACCAAGGGCTTGCAGGGGCCACTGCAAATGGGGGTCCTTGCCTATGTTCTCAGAGATGCAGGAGAAAGTTTTTCTTTAAAACCTTGGGATTGGTGGCTCACGCCTGTAATCCCAGCACTTTAGGAGGTCGAGGCAGGTGTATCACTTGAGTCCAGGAGTTCAAGACCAGTCTGGCCAACATGCCGAAAAGCTGTCTCTACTAAAAATACAAAAATTAGCTAGGCGTGGTGGCACATTCCTGTTGTCCCAGATACTCGGGAGCCTGAGGCACAAGAATCGCTTGAACCTGGGAGGCGGAGGTTGCAGTAAGCTGAGATCGTACCACTGTACTCCAGCCTGGGTAACGCAGCAAGATGCTGCCTAAAAAATATATAATTAATTTAAAAAATAACGAAATGGCGTTCCCAGTGTGAGAAATTCTGTGGAAGCAGCAGGAATTCAACTCCTGACTTGCGGGTTTGAGGCCTGGCATGCGGGCTGTTCAGGTATGAGGATCCCCACTCTGCTCATGGGGTCACCTGGGGAGCAAACATTCCCCATCAAGCACCTGGCGAGTGGTATCCTGCTGATAACTGTCAGACATGCCAAGTTCAAGACGGCAGAGGCTTTGCTCCAGGCCTGCCCGGGCACCGTGGCCCCTCCCCACAGCTGAGTTGGTCTCACCCCCACCGACACTCTCCCTGGGCCTCCTTCCCTCTCAGCCTCTTTCATTTCCCTCCCATAGCCTAAATATTGCGATTATTTTGGTGAGAGGCCTGCTGACCTGTTTCTCCGCTGTACTCTCTTCTAGATTTTAACTCCAGGAGAGTAAGAACTGAGCAAAGGAGCAGGACTCAGGTTTCCAGAGCAGAGCCGGGCAACAGGGCGAGTCTCGGCTCTGCCACTTGCTGGGGCGTGTCACTCCTCTTCTGTGAAATGCAGGTGGAGCTAGTAATAGCACTGACTCCACTGGGCTGCCAGTTAAAGCCCGGGAGTACAGTAGACCAGGCACGCTCTGCCTTCAGGATGCCCAGAGTCACACGCGAGCTTATTAAAGCACAGGCCACTCGGCCCCACTCCCAGCATGTCTAAGGTAGGTGGTCTAGGGTGGGCCCAAGAGCATGTCTAACACATGCCCAGGTGATGGTGATAACACAGGTCTAGAAACCCCACTTTGAGAACCAGAGGAAAGGAGAGTGTCCATGGAGTGCCTGGCACATGTAATAGTCTTGGAAGCTATTCGCTCTGATTGCTCTGTTGCTTAGCACTGCTCACACACCACCTCCCACACTCACTTGCTGGGCACTCAGCAGCTTCTCCGGAGACTTAGTGAAGTGGGTTTTAAAACTCTCTCCATGAGCAAATCAGGAGGAAGACACCCGCTCCTCAGCCTCACTCAGCCCAGGATGCAGGAGAGAACTGGGGTTGAGCATGGGCCGTGGGGCCTGGAGGTCTGGTTCACACGCAGGCTCTGCCAATCACCAGCAGTGACCCAGGACAAGCTAACCCACCTCTGGAAGGCTCAACTTTTTCTCCCTATAAAACGGGGACGGACAGAGGCCCCCAGTTCTGGGGCTGTTGGGAGAATTCAAGGACATGGAGGCTGGCCACCAGGGAGGGCAGCAGAGACCTGTGCCTTGCCTGCTCCCAGCCAGGCCAGAGCAGGCCCCAGGAGCAGCCAGGTGGGGGAAGTGAAGCTGCCGTCCTCCCTCCTTTCCCCAGGACAGGAGGGGCCTGCTCAGACCTTCCCCCAGAGCAGCCAGAGACGCTTGGGTCAGCTGGGCAGACACAGCTGGTTTAAGGTATTTTAGAGGCAAATCAAATCAAATGAGAATTTATAATCCTTCCTGAGGCCTGGGTTCCATCAACCTAAACTCATTAGGCCCAGGAGATGCAGGTGCAGTGAAGGAAAAGACGGTTCTGCCTTTCCTTCGTGCCCAGCCCTTGTCTCCCTTTCAAAATAAGAGTCTTCTTTAAAGCCACACTCTGTCCCTGGACCAGAGTAATCAGCTTCATTTCTGAAAACAGGATGGTGCAGAGACGTACAAAAGCCACCCCAGGGGCTGATGGGGGAGATTTGGTGGGAACTGGAAATCTTGGAGAGCCTCACTCATTTCAAGTCCACACTGTAAGAACTCGAACTTAAATTCCTAAGCTAAACTATCAAAACACCCTTAAAATTGCATGGTTGTCCTTTGAACCTATTTCTGGTGTGGGAAGCAGAAGAATATGAGATCAAACCAAAAAACTGGTGTGTTTTTTTTTGTTTTGTTTTGTTTTTTGTAAATAGAGATAGGGTCTCACTCTGTCACCCTCAGCTGGAGTGCAGTGATGTAATTACAGCTCACTGAAGCCTTGGACTCCTGAGCTCAAGTGATCCTCCCGCCTCAGCCTCCCAAAGTGCTGGAATTACAGGCATGAGGTACCCCACGAGGCCCAGAGAATGGTTTTTAAATGACATTTTGTATTCTATATGAAATGTAATTGGAAGAGTTGCAAACAGACTCCCAAAAGTTCTACTTGGGATCTTCTTTCCAAATAATTGCTCCTGTGATTCGTGATTTAAAAGTATTATTGTACAATTAAATTTACATAAAGCTTA